AAAAAAAAAAAACAAAAAACTATTTTTTTTTTACAAATTGTAAAAAAATCAAACGGTGTGCGATAACAGCAATCAAAAAAATGATGAAAAAATTTGGAACAGAACTGAAAAAAAATTTATAGAAGATCTGTGAGATTTTACTCACTGCAGAAATGGGCACAGGATCTGCAGACAGTGACGGAATCGCCATCGATACCCGTCTAACGAAAAGGCTCGCCCGCCGAGCTGCAGACTGGGTTCTTTCGGATGCCGATGGTTTACTTGGATACGAGTATTTTTGCTCCATTGACGATAACGTATGAACATGATTACCAAAGGTAACTCGACGAAATGGAGGTGAATTTGTCGGCTTAACAATTGCTTTTAATTCTATAAAGCAAAAACAAAAAGAGAAAAAAATTATCTTTCCAAAAACCAACACCACAGCTTACATATTCAATCCAATTAGCCGTAGTTTTCTGCCAACCAATTCCTCAGTTTGCTTTACATTTTTGCGAATATACGGGCACCAAAAAGACACCGACAAGGATATTAGAAAAAAAAACTACAGCTGTTGATGTTTCTTTTCTGTTTCTTTTTCGTCGATCACTATCAATTTAAGTGCTTGAAAATTTAACGATTTCGTCTTGAAAATTAAAAAAAACTATTCAGGAGGTTCAACGTCCCTCCTGAAATATATGTTTTTCGCCTAAAGTCGCTAAAACTACTATTACTACTATTATCACAGAACAAGAAATGGAACTAAAAAATTGCAAATGCGGTATTGAGTAATCAGATTGCCAACCGTTAATATTGTCGAACTGTCTCCAAGGTTATTGTCGCCTATGCTGGTGGCAGTTGTTTGGTCAGTGCCTTTTTTTCTACCCTGTTCAGCGGTATCTGAAGAATCAAAAATTTCCACCCCACTACATCCTTCTGTTTCGTCCGATGTCTCTCCGTTAGCTTCTTCTTCAGATTCAACAAGTGTCTCAAGCACAGGAAATGATAGTTCAGTTTCAGCTCGTAACGGTGAATACACATCTGGTAAACGTCGAGTTTTTTTCATCAGCAGTTTCAGTAGAAGAAAGATGAATGACGTTTTGATAACAAACAAAATCCCGTTGTGGTATTCAGTCGGATAATGAAAGGTTGTGAAAGAGTGGAGTCAAGGGCATAATGGTATTAGATAGAGAAGAATGGAGCATTTGGGATGGTGTTTAGGTCGGGATGCGGCAAGGGTTTAGGAATAACGATAGCAAATATTCAATCTGGGCAAAGACTAAGCAAGCATATTGCTTTCTTTGAATTGTTTTCTGCCTCTTTTTCTTAATCAACATTTCCAATGCTTCTTTCCGCTTTTATCATTTAAATTATATATTTTTAACAAATTTGCAACATTTTTTTTGCCGTTCTAAAATACAACCAAAAAACTCTGATCACTTCACTAGACCTGTACAGCCTAATTGATTGGGCAGGGGGGAGGGGTGAATATGATCTTTGATTACAACGATCCAAGCAAATGCAGGAACATATATGCGTATAAATACACGTACATATAAATACATATAAATATGAATATATAGATACATATATTTATATGTATATATATAACGTACTTTTAAATATATATAAAAATATTTAGATCTATACTCCAAGAGCCAAAAATTGTGGTGGATGAAACAAAAGCGAATAACAAGTGGTG